TTTCAGATCTCAGATTTATAACATCTGATCGCTAAAACAAACTATAAACGATCTCRCTATAAGTTGTGAACATGCATTACCTGTTTGATTCTCCCTCCGATGTAATCTTGTCCTTCCAGAACTAGAAAGTCATTAATCCCGTTGTCTTTAAGWGTCTTTCCAGCAACAATYCCTGACAAACCAGCACCAAGAATAAGGACTTTTCTGTGTGGCTGCTTGGCATTAACCGAATAAGGAGCAACTATKGTTCCAAAGAGAAATAATATTGCAAAACGGCTTGCTTGATTTGAATGCATGGTTGCAGATGGCTGACTCTCGCGGTCTCACCTTGAGATCGTCATGCGACGCTGGTGCTCACGCAAGACTTTTCACGGGGTTGGGGACATACAGTACTTATGTTATTAAGAATCGGAAGTGTTTTCTTTGAGTGTAATTAATTGGAAGTTAAGAAAGCTTTTTTAAAAGTTAAAATAGTACTTTCTGGTATCTTCTGGAGTCCACATAAAAGCAAAGAAAAAATCGGTCCTCACACGATCCGGTGCTAGACCTAATGATTGAGTCCCCTTTTCAGCTTGTTTAAGGAGGCGCCCATAACGGTAATTAAAGTTTCTGCTCTTTTCACTCATTTCTCAACCCTCCTGATAATTATTGCGCGGTCCCTTATGAATAGTCTACATATACATCAAAAAACTGTCTATAATAACTCAGGCATGCCATGTTGGAGGGATAAACAATAGATACTAATGAGAAATCCTTTGTTGAAGTTCCTCCAAGATGGCGCTGAGATGGCTTCTGTGACGTATAAACTTGAACGCATGAACGAATAATTTTGCGTTTTATTTTCGCGTTTTTTCCCCTACCTTTACATTCAGAAGTTCTTTGAGCAATGAACTGGAAACAGTCAAGAATATTTAATTTGTTTTACCAAAGCACATACATGTGGCAATCGATTTTCTCTTGGATATAAAGCACTGTACAAGATTTGATGAATGAAGCATCTCATTATATATTCAGTCAGTATTTTTTTCTGTCACGCAGCTAGTACTTGATTGGCTTCTGGAACAATGATTCGCTTGCTGTCACGACCATGTAAGACATTTTCTGTTATACATTTTTCAGCATCTCCAGTCTGAAAGTACACATAGTAAACACCCAAAATATTAAGAAAACTACGACATAATGGAGTTGAGATTTCCATGGGATATTATTGTGTTCTTCACGTCAGCCGTATTGGGTTTCCTATTGTATATCGTCTTCACGAGACCACGTCAAGCGTACAAGGAGTACAAAAAAATATCCACCAAGTTTCAAACGTCTAGTTTGTCAATAGCTCTTGGCTTGAAAGAAGAGTTCATAGCTATCCAGGACAAGTTCTATTCTGTCGTTGAAGTTTCTAAGGCTATAAAACTAGCTGGATTGGAGTCAAGTAATCTTATTATCGGGGTTGACTTCACCGCTAGCAACGAGTGGCAGGGTCGTAAATCCTTCTCTGGTCGATCTCTTCATCATATATTTAAAAACACTTCAAAGAAACTTAACCCATATCAAAGTGTTATCAAATGTATAGGGAAGACCCTAGAGCCATTTGACGAAGACAACCTAATTCCTGTTTATGGATTTGGGGATTTGAAGACCAAAGACCACAGCGTGTTCAACTTCAACGACAACAACGAACCTTGCAAAGGTTTAGATGCAGTGCTTCAAGCCTACAACGATGTTGTAAGGCGAGTTTCTTTAAGTGGACCAACAAGTTTTGGTCCCATCATTGATAAAGCTATAGAAATTGTAAGCAGATCGCTCGGCTATTACATCTTGGTAATTATTGCCGATGGTCAGGTTGTTGAGGACCATGAAGTCGAAACTCGCGAAGCTATCGTCAAAGCTTCTTATTATCCTATCTCAATCATTGTTGTTGGTGTTGGTGACGGGCCTTGGGATCGTATGCATGAATACGATGAACTTTTACCTCAAAGAAAATTTGACAACTTTCAGTTTATTGAATATAACGAAACTGTCGCCAATGCAAAGTTTCCTGACGCCGCGTTTGCTTTGCATGCTCTGATGGAGATCCCGGAACAATATAAAACAATAAAAAAACTTGGACTATTGAATGACTCTAAGGCAAATTAAATCCTCTTCGACAACACCTATTTGACTGCCTGTATTTTATAATGTTTTTGTTAATTTGGCGTGTTATCAAGCGAAAAATCTCATCTATTATTAAGCTTACTAAAATGTATTTATTGGTACCTGCGGAGCCAACTCGGTGGTGAAGAGAAAAAAAACTACTCTGATAATGTAAAAGATATCTACTTACATTCACTTTTTCATTAATTAAGCAATGACTTTGAAAACGTGAAGTTTTCTGGGTGCAATTAGACTTATATTAAAATGTCAGTGGTTGGTCCTACCTAACCACCAAAAACAAAATATTTTTCAACAATTAATGTCTAGAATAAGAAAAAAATAATATTTTTCAATCATACTGAGACTAATTGTATGTAAATAAATACCGACATATAATCCCTGTGTGCTCATTTGAATAAACACCCGACAGACAAATATATGGGTTTTTTTCGAACAAATACACCTGTGTCTATCGTGGGATACCTGTGTTATAATTGTTTACCAGTCCTCCATTACCTAGATCCAAGATGGCGGAAGACTGTTAGTTATCATGGGGAAACGGTATCATTGCGATTTTTGTGATAAAACATTCGCTTATTCATCCCAAAACCGCAAGAAACATGAGCAAGGTGTTCATCACCAAAGAAACAGAAAACTACATTATGATTCTTTCAAAGGTTAGTAGAAACATTTATTACTTTTGACCCGAAAAATCGATCTCTGTAGCTACGCAGTTCAATCGTTTTATTTCGATTTCAGATCCTTCAGAGTTGTTAGCAGAACAAGCTAGTAAACCACCATGCCGACGCTTCTTTCAAACGGGTAATTCACAGTATTGTTTTATATGAAAAGGTTTGACATAAAGGCGAAGCAAGCTGGCATTACACCGTGAATCGAGATTAATGAAGTTGATCTGCAATTTTATTAAAAATGTTTTGTCAAAATCAAGCGATAATTACTAGTATGGACCTCATAACATGTTATAACATGAAACTTTGACACAGGCAAATAAAGTATCCTTTATAAAAGATTTTGTTGTTATAAGAATTTCCTGACAGCTTGAATAAGCATTTTGCTGACTGGCATCATTTCTGCATGATGCTTTGCCCATTTCAAGTTGTATGAATTCCAAATAGAAAGTTTTTTATACCACAATCGTAAAATCGTGTCAGGTACGAAATATATCAGTTATCGGTTTCAGAAAGACGTTAATATGAAGATTTCTAAGTTCATTGATTTGTGTTATATTGAATTGTGCCATGACTTCCATAATCAAGAGATGGAAATGGAGATTATTTCATTATTTTTTTAACTCAAAACGAGATTGGAACATTTAATCACCATGTACTGTGCTCTGGGACATAAATAAGTGATTATATTTGTTCATTGATGAGTTATCAGTTTTAATGCTCAATATTTCCAAGAAACTTCATTATTATTGCTTTATGATGTATTTTTCAGAAGTAGATTATTAGTTTAAATGTTCTTTGCAGATTAAAAAAATATTAGATTTAGATTTAAAAGGATATTTATGAGTATTAAAAAAAGTCAGTACATTTCAGTTTTTTAATTTTCAGACAAAGCCATTTTGACTTCATAATGTCACTCAAGTCAATGTAGAAAATATGATTTTCTGTTGTTTTTTTTTTATCAGGGACGCCCAATGTAGAAAATATGATTTTCTGTTTTGTTTTGTTTTATCAGGGACACCCGATGTAGAAAATATGATTTTCTGTTGTTTTTTTATCAGGGAATTGTGACTTTGGTGTAAACTGCAGGTATTCTCATACCAATCCACAAATGCTTCTTGCTGCACAAGGTAAAAAGAGTATTTGTATAATCAGAACAGCAAGTGTAACTCTTTATGTATGCATGTTGTTGTTATTCTGTGATAGTCATCCCTACCCTGGTCCCAGAGGTTTTCTTTTCTCTTCTTTTATATATGTTTTTTTTTTTTTTTTTTTTTTCAATTTAACGACGCAAGAAGAATACCTGATATAACAATCGTACTGAGTGCCAGTTGTGTCGTTAAATTTATAAAACAAAGACAAAAATACGATAAAAAACATCTATAAAAGAAGACAAAAGAAAACCTCTGGGACCAGGGTAAGTCATCCCCAGCTAGACTGTAATTCCATAAGTTAATCCCTGCTCCTCCAGGTTTGAATATGCAAGCATTAAGGATCCCAAGCCACACTGATTCCATAAGTCATAGGTTTTACTTCCTTATTTATTACTTAACTTAAAACGGTTGGTGAGAATTTACTCCATTTTGGAATTCTCTTTCAGTGCAAGCTTAGCTTCAATTAAGCATAATTTTTTTTGTCCTCTTTTTTGCATTACAATAAGATCTCTAGTGAATAAAAGAATATATTACATGCTGCACAAACTAAGATCTCGAAACTGGAGTGTTACCACAGAGAGACAAATAATGAGCAAACTAACCAACTTTTTAAGCAGTCTAAGATTCATGCTAGTTTTTCAAGGAAAAAAAGACTCATGGATACCCTTAGGATGTTTCAATTCATTTTTGAATTCAAAAATAAGTTTCCTTTTTTGGTTTCCTCAAAGCTGAAGCTGAAATACAAAAATCTAAATTACAAGAACCAGGTTTTGAAGATTGGCTGGTAAAATGGAGAAAACGCAGGAAAAAAGATGAGAAAAAAGACAAGTCAGAAGAAGAAACCATACCAGGAAGTACCTTGCCACCTGGCCTTCCACCTGTTTATTTATTACCACCGTCGCTACGACCACCACCCCCTGGGGGCTATGTTGATTGCCCTCAGGTGGAATGGGGCTAAGCTTAAAAACGGGACTTCAATGGACATTTTTATACTGTTGGAACTATCTTTACTTATCGGTGTGAAATGACGTGAACTGAATCATCCATACTCCATTTCTTCACAACAAAAACAAAACACAACTACTACTACCACTCTTTAGTTATGYTATGTTTTTCAAAAAATGTTGTATGCCTGAAATGCATTCAAAAAACAATAACAAATAAATGGGAAATCAGATTCGCCAATAATTTATTGGTCGTTGCCAAAACAACGGACAGTGACATCAAGAACATGGCTGGGGTGATGTCCATCAGACGGGGCTAGTTTAGGCAGGAAAGCATTATCTTCGTACACATAAAGGATTGCAAATCAACCTATCGCAGCTGCAGTTTTTAGACAAATCTTATTTCTTGATTTAAATTTTCTAAGAATTTTGATTATCGCATATTTTCATGGTTGTTTTTGTTCTTACTTATCAAAAAAAYCCCTCTTCGTTACGACCTTATAAGTGAGAATTGAATTTTTTCTGATTTTGTTTTCGAATTCTCATCTTTTTTAAGTGAACAAACTACCATTCCAAAAACAAAATTCACCTAATCTCTATAGTTTAATTTGTTTTGTTCCAATTGAGGCGCAAACTACGACGAATCTGGACCTTTCTCATTTTTAAAATAGTTGTGTGTCAAAATACGTCTGTTCGAAATGCATGCCTTTTCTGTCAATTAACGCCCAGTAACTTTACTGAAATTATCCAATACAAAAACAATTAAAGACACATTTTATCACCCACCTCCTTTATTAGCGAGAATKTCGTAAGCGCTTTAATCAGTTATCTGTGCTTGATTTCGACAAGAGATACGTTTTTAACACTCGAAGATAAAATCCGTATCTCCGCGCATCCATGTAATATCCTCTATATATTTGGACGCGATAAGATTATTAATGAATATTATATAAAAAATTAGCGGCATAACTCAGGATCAGTATCGTTCCCTGAGGAGTTTTTGAGTATCTTTGAAAACATGCACATGCCTCAGCGAAAGATTCAAAAACATTCGGCGAGGTGCAGACAGTGTTTAAAAAGCTGCGAAATTGTTTTTCGATTTTTTTTGTTCACAAATATCTTAACAGGAATAATAAATTGTCGTCTACGCTTGATTTGTGGATGTTATTTTAGCTTTAGGTGATAAAAATGACTTGGATGGTTAAAAACTAATTTACCTAAGTGTAATCTCAAAATAATTAATTAATTAATTAATTGCAGCTATGCTGTAGGCATGCATGAATCGTCCACGGTATCTATTTAATATTGTTTTAAGTATTAACCGTTTAAAATATTAACTTTTTAGTATGACTTGATGCTTGCGGGGTTTTTAAGATGGGCCTACTTTAATGAGGCTCGGTGTATTTTATTGATCAATTGAAGGCTCGATTTCAAGGCTCCGTGTGCGACATGGAAGGTTGCTGGCAGTTAAMGGCCGTGTCACACTGGCGTTTTTTTCGTGCCCAACTTGTGTCGCGCAAAAAAATGTTGAAGTTGTACGATGCCATGTCACACTATCAAAATTCCGTTGCAACTTAGCTCCCACAAAAAAATATTCAAGTTGCACGCGTAAATTGAAAATGTACGATCATCTCACTTTCTCTCTCGTTTTCTTCTTCAAAATAATCGCTTTCGCCAAAGATGGCGTCGGGCATCTTTGTTGATTATTACAACAAGTGACAACAGGACAGATTCTCGCTTTATTATGGGTTCGTGCGTCTAATTGAAAAATTTGGAAGTTGCAAGAGACCATGTCACACACGCGTTTTTCCGAAAAACGTTGAAAAAAGTAGAAGCCTGTTTGATATTTGTAAAATTCGAACATCTAAAGACTTTTTCAATTTCATAATGCTGGACAGGATTAAACCCAATACGTGAAGTSTTTAACACACAGTCACGCCAAGAAACTTTATTTTAAGGAAAACTAGTTTCGTCCCAGATTGGACCTTTTCAATTCCTTAATTTTTTTTTTTTTTTTTTTTTTTTTTTTTTTAACTTAAGGTATTGAAAAGGTCCAATCTGGGACGAAACTAGTTTTCCTTAAAATAAGTTTCTTGGCGTGACTGTGTGTTAAASACTTCACGTATTGGGTTTAATCCTGTCCAGCATTATGAAAGTAGAAGCCAGTTCTACTTTTCTCTCAACAAAAAAATGAAATGTTCAAGTTGCATGACTGAGACCATGTCACACACGCGTTTTTCCGAAAAACGTTGAAAAAAGTAGAAGCCAGTTCTACTTTTCTCTCAACAAAAAAATGAAATGTTCAAGTTGCATGAGGGGGTGTCACACGTAAAAAAACGCTCGTGCAACTTCAACATTTTTTTGCGCGACATAAGTTGCACGAAAAAAACGCCAGTGTGACACGGCCTTAACTTCTCCAAGGATCACGATCGCTCTTAGAATGGTTTTCATTAACTCGTGAAACACACTTTAGCGTATTTATCGCTATTACACTTTGGCTCTTTGGCTTTTTATTGTCTCTACGCGACTATTACGATCTATTACACTCTAATTATTACACTTTGTTTCACGGGTTTATGAAAACCACTCTAGGGAGACATTTTTTTATACATTTTTTGCATGTCGCAGCTGTGTGTTGTTGTTTTTTTTTTACTTGGTTTGGCTAACAGCCGAGGCACCTTTTGGTAAAAGGGTAACCCTTTCAACCAAGAATAGTTTAGTTCATTGTAAACATAGTAGCCTCTGAGTATTAGCCTAGCATGCAGCAGAACACAAAACCCTTCAGGCGTGTTTAGAATCGTATCTTTTTGGAACATTTTAGAACGTTAACTTCAATGTTATCGATTATTCCTCTACCGTTCACAATGGGACCTCGGTGCCTGAGGGATAGATTAACTTTTGAAAACAATTCCAGACGCTTATCATGTACTAATATAGACAAATTTGCGTCGTCTTTGAAGATATGGGTTTAGAGGTATTGATATCATTTGCTGAAACGATTAATGTACAGTTTTAAACCATTGGACCCAATATCGACCCTGGGGGTACGCCGTGAGATAGGAACGCGTAATAGACCATTACGAGGTCATTTTTTGAAGAGAATGAAAATACCACACCATCTGCCTAGAGGGAATTATTGGTATAAATGTCTGGCGTCTATAGGCTATGATAAGGGTGAATATCGATCTATCATTATCACTTCTTGAAGATGAACATGACCTAACGAGATACTTAGGGACTGGCGGTTTTAAACATTTGAGGAAATTTGTATGAGAGAGCCATAAAAATAAAGGGACTTTCTTTTAACTTAAATCAAATCTATGTTAACTCGCATATTAGTTTGGTAACTGACATTTAACAGAGTTCTTAGCATAATAATACCGTTCTCAGTTAGCCTATTTTCGATCCTCAGTCTTGAAACAGATGTATTTAAATTATGTATATTGAAAATCCACGGATCTGCTTGGACTTTGAGTATGCCACGGCAAATGAYCAAGCTATAACAAAAAAAGAGTGCACCCCCCTTTTTAGAGTTCAAAATTATAATGATATAAATATATTCTCTTGACATTAATAAATAAAAGGACAAAAAAACGTCAACGTTCTTTTGATCGAAATTTCATTTGCCGCAGTCTGAAAATCTTTCCCATACCTTTCTTTATCTGGCGAATCAGTCAATGTCGATATGAATAAAATATCCGCACATAAGACACTATGAGTTTTARTTCACTGTGAATTAAATTGAATTATTCCTACTGGACTATCTACCTATGTGATTAGGACCCAAACAAAATTACTGMTCGATTTAATTGATCTGAATGATATTTCACGACTTTGACATCTGTTATAAAATGTATCTGTTCTGTTATCATCATCATCATCATATAAACCCATACTGGTCATTAAATAGTGATTCGTTTCTTTCAAGCCATCTGCATCAATCTTAAGGTCGCTCGGACGTTCTGAAGTTAAGATTTAATAGACCTTTAGTATACATAAGTGTGATGTTTGGAAAGGTAGAGTTATTTTCACTCGTCTGTGTTTAATAATTTTACTAGTCAGTGTTTAATAATGTCTAATAGTTGTATTACAATAAAAGAAAGTCAATCGGTGTAGAGTCTACTAGCGTCTATTCGTGTAGGAACTATTTTAAAGTCTGATGAAAATCACTCTTACCTTTGGTCTCTTGTTAATTCATACACATTTTAGGCATAATCAAGCATTACATCTTCCGCCATTCAAAAAGATGTTTTCCACGAGCGCGGCTCAAACATACAAAAAATAATTATTCACTCGAAATAAAAGTACATGTGCAAAAGGGATTGCTTGCGTCGAAAAATAGTTCTTTGGATGTGCGCAGAATTTTCACAGGCGTTGAAAATCTAAACAATCGCTARCGAAAGACTGATTCTCCTTTCGCGTTTGCACTCTTTTATCTGTGTTTGCGTTGGTTTATTTTTCATTTTCGTATCCTTTTTTATTTCACATCAATTTGATTCATTGAAAATACGATTCTAGTGTCAACTGCTGCAGTGGAGTCATCTGTGAAAGTCCTGATAGCGTTTATCAAGATATTCTAACCGCAGTTGTAGGAGTGCATATACCCACGTGCTATCAAACATACATTGAATACTCACGATACAACACGTGCAGCAAACGAGCTCGACGCGTGAAGGCATTCATTGATAATGTTTCAGATCTGGAATTTTCAATCAGATCTATCTAATCTATAAGTTGGGGAAATGGTTGTAGAAAATTGRTTAGGATATGTTTGAGGCAGGGTCAAACAAATCAGAATCGTTTTATTTTGCACTATTAGATAATATGAAATGAAATAAAATGAGAAAYAATATATCAGAAAGAAAGAAATGTAGGTGTAATAGTGTTGTGCCAAAGGAGCAAGCGATTTCGAATGGACTTCTACCACAATGATTTGTTTGTTTGTTTCTGGAGAATAGTATTTCTTCATATTCTTGATGAATTGCAACAAATCTTGATGGCTCAAAATTAGGTCTGGAAATTGGTCTGTACTCAAAAGGTTATCTTTAGTATTGTGAATCTAGCATTGTGACTGTGAAAATGGGATGATGCTAGGATTAAATTTGAGTCCACTACTGATGTCATGAATATTTAGTTAATATAGCAGACACTTTCTTTCTTGAAAGSAAAAAAACCTCTTAGTCATTTCACTTCGCTTTCTTTTGACGGCCTGGCCGGAGACGAGTTCAAATCCTGGCTCTTTTTTATCCAAACCGTTTAAATCATTTAAGTCTCCTTGGAGTCAGCATCTCGTCATATTCTTTTACCTGTCATGATTATTCTATGAACTTTATTTAAGGAAAATAATTTAGCATAACTACCACAGCTGTAAGTATCTGTTGCTGATACACGTWTATTGAAAAGAAGGTTAGTTCATTTTTTTATTACTCGGATAGCATTCCGTCTTACATCTCAAGTGTTTTTCCGTGTTCTTGTAATCTATTCTTTTCGTAACAGTCTAGACGGCCTAGTATTTAGCAGAATTATTGAAACCTCGAGACGTTTCTTATCATTTTGGCTTCTATCCGACCAAATGTCTTCGTTCATTAGTGACAAACAATGCTGAGTTTTTAGTTCGACTTCAATTGAGGTATATCTATAACATTTAGAGATTTTTGTTTACACTGTTTAGAGATTTTCATAAAGATTCATTGTTAATCATCATGCAATGTCACTGAACTCAGATAAAGTGTAAATCGTCTGCAAAAATTATAAGAAGTTCAGAAGTTCGAGGACTGATCGCATCTCGGTCAATTATGTTTTGCTAAAATGACCATAGCTTTATAATGTCTTTACCCAAATTTGTAGGATAATTACTGTGTTATTTCTGCACCACACATATTGCCCCTGCGCTAAATTAAGATAAAGCGCTGCTTACGGAGATAAGTAATTAGCCGACATAGTATTTTATTAGCACATAAACAACTTCCTTTCATTAAAGCCACATCCTTAGCATGTCAGCAGTCGAGTATTGCGATAACCTCTTATCGTTTCCTAACAATTGGAACTTGACGAGGACGTAATTTCTTGATGACTTAAAACACCAAACACCTACACAAGCATGAAAATACATTCCAGAAGCTTTAATCAAGGAACTTGATAAGATGGCGTTTTTTTCCTTTAGAAGATGCCAAAAGTACTAGAAAACTCGATTAGAAACCACACCTTTGACAAGGCTTATGTCAGGCGAGCGTGATTTTATCGTCCAAACTGTTCTGTTTATTTGTTTACATGCAATCTGTGCTTTCTCTTTCGTTCCACTTCAAGTAATCCGTGCAAAAKACTGYAGGATTTGGATCAAAGCAAGCGGATATGAAACGTAGTTGTGCTAAACATTACACGTCCCATGCGTAGACAGCTAGTCCTAGCAACATCTTGATCGAATAGAAATTCTCACTACTTTTCAAACTGTCCTGACTGGGAATTCCCCAAAGAGAAATGGCTYTCAAAAAATTTAAATAACGTTGGTTAAAACTCACGAGGCTCAGGAGGGAATCATTTTCAATAGAGCTGTTTTGTTTCTTATACGCATATAAGGTAACAAAGCCAAGATCTGTCAGAACCTTCTAGCCCTGAATATTCAAGATCTGCTGGGAAAACGTTTCAGTCGTTAATATACAATTATAAAAAAACAGGGGGTTTCTATTGATGAGGATAGGCGTCTGACCTTTCTTAAAGTTATTCCGATCGCTAAATTGTGGGAAGTTGCAGGAGTACTATACACGATCTGACCCTGACGACATATTCTCATTGGTTGCGAGTTTGACTGGCCACATACTTAGAATTCATAGACACGGCCCACAAAGTGCTTTGTGGCACAGAAAACCAGCTCAGTYGGAGGTAGACACAGTCGAATACACATCAACGAGATATCCCCTAAAGGGAACTTTTTGCACAAAGAACTAGTGAGGCGAATATCCGATACAAAATGAAGATGAAATCAACTTCGGTGATTTTGCTTGGGACATGGTGCGCTGTTTTGGCGTTGACGATCGAAGCGAAAGGTACGCACAAACTGTGTCGTTTGACGGAATGGATAAATTCTGTTTTATTTATTTCAAGGGCTATAAATATTGTTTAGAACATGTTAACAAGAAATTCTTTGTGAATTATTTGAGGTGTAGACTTTCGTTGCATGAYAAAAATTCGCACGACTCACGCGAACTGACGCATGCGATTTAGTAGATCTGTGTTTTTTTGTTTGTTTGTTTGTTTTTCTTAAGACTGTCTTTCTTATTACATCATAGTTATGTACAGCCTTATAGCAAACATCGTTAAAATGAGATTTAAATGCAGTATTTGGTATACCAAAAATCATTAAAATTTTAAGGAGGATTTACACGATGCGATTTTCGTGTACTGGGCTTGTAGTATACACCCTTTTAATAAGTCCCAAGGTATTGTTTTYTCCRCAYTTGRCGYCAAATTTMTTCTTTTGARAKTTTTACAATACAAAAGGAATTCAAAAGAATAAATTTGACGTCAAGTGCGGAGAACGTAATACCTCGGGACTTATTAAAAGGGTGTATATGTGCCTACGACTTGCCTACGACTTGTGAGGACTTTGAATCACAGCTCAAAATAATACGACTTGTCGTAGTAAAAATCGTATACTACAAGTCGCATGCRACAATCGTATCGTGTAAATCGGTCTTAGTGAGGAAACATTGTGCGTTTTTTTGTGATAACTGAGGCCTATATGTTCCATTTCAATTAATACGGATTATCTCTCTGTTATTTAATCATTATGCCACGKGTAAGTTGCCATATGGAGTAAATTACACACCGTTCAAAGTGAATAGCAGATTTTTTTATACGTCTATATTAATCACGACCTTACATGCTATTTAACATTATTTGACTCTATTTATATTGAACTTGAGCAAAAAGGCAATTTTGAAAAGCTGATGCATGGACTCTTTTTATGGGCAATTAAAGTTGATAGATAAAGAAATACTTGAAAACCTGCTTAATGACAAACAAGTCTACTGAACTGAGGAAGGTCGCATGGTCAAGAGTAAGAGAAACGTGTATAAGATTTGGGATGGTCACGTGACACCATGACACATAAGAAAATGAGGCGGATTTTTCTTSAAAGCTGATTATAAGGTCTTAATAAAAGTCACGATCAAAAGGAAACGAATCAAAACATGTTATGAAAACAGTCGCTTCCCAAAGGTCATGCAATCAAAATAAGTACGTTGTATATATGCTAAAAACCGATGGTGAATTGTTGACTTTATAGGACGGTATTTTCCAAAATTGTAGCAACTTTATTTTCTATAAGTATTTATTATATATAATGRCGAGCGTTTAGAGTCATTAAAATAAGAACGTGAGGTCGATTTAAGGATTATTATAATACACACCGCGCCTTTTTAATTACGTTTAATTTCATCCTTATCCAAATATGTAATAACCTCAATGCTGGGGTTCTCGCGTATTTGTCAAAACAACGTATCTAAACTTTGCATTGAACTGATAATTAATGTATGGCACGAGGATACACACTGGGTAGCAGTTTAAGGAATTACGCCAAATATGTGAAGTATGACAAAAGGATCGATAGACTGTGATGGTCACCTGTGTTTAATAGAGGGCGGCATGGAACAGAGAGTAGATTTTGAGCAACCGAAGTGAAGTCTTGCGAACACCGTGATGAAGATTTTACTCAAGTGTTGTTCTCACTGGCTTCCAAAAAAATCTTTACGGAACAGTAACAATGGACTCAGTTCTCGGCTCGAGTGAAACCTTTCTTACTGCATGCGTGGTGTGTTTAATCACGCAGAGATACACAGCACAGGGAAGCTTATTCATTAAATGGCGGTAACATTGACCCTATCATTCCCGCATTGAAGGCAAATGAACTCGGGCCGGGCATTATTGACTTATCCCCAACGATAACATTCATATCGATGTTGCAAAATCTGTTTGACATAAGAATGACTGACATTGTAAYCATATYGATCAYGAACCGAGTTCGTTTGAAAGATCGRGAAAAAAATCCCGAAAAATCACAAATATCTGAGTTTTGACTTTTCAGGATTATTCTSARCGTCAGGGGCGAAGCGAGAATTGACAAATTAGAAAAAATATTGAAAAATCGTCYACATTTATTAAATGTATTAATTTTTTGTGGGGGGAGGGGAGAGGGGTGACAAACGTGCCACGCCTCTCCACACGCTAGTACTCAATGTAAAATAGCTTTTGATTGGACAACAGCCTACCAATTAAGTCTTTAACTTCTTAAGGTGCTACTATGCACCGATGAGCCCGTTGGGGAGAAAGGACTCCGTCACAATATGAAATTCAAAAGAATTTGCGTTCATGTTCGATAAACAAACAAATAAATATAACGAAAAGTGCTTTGTTATTTGAATCTGGCGGTGATAATGTAACGAAACATTAACAAGAAGTGTTTATATTTCAGAGTGCCGCGATAACACCTTACTGGAAACAGAGTGCCGAACTATGAGGCAATCGTTTGGAGAGCAGATTTGTAGAACAAACTACAACTCAATAAARAAGTTGATGCACAAACAGTGCCGAGCAACATGTGGACTATGCGCTCAAAGTATGTCCCACTCATCTCTGATAAGCCTGTTTAGTGTTTATATATAAGTGATACTTTTTGGCTAGTACGCACATGTCAGGGAGCGCGACACATATTATGGACACATATTAACGACTGCCGAAGGCAGGAGTTTTAAGGTGGGCCTGGTCTGGGTCTGGGAACGGTTCCCCCAGGAAATTTTGAAAAAATATAACTCTTGGAAATGCGATTTCCAGCGTTTTGAGGTTTTTTTCGATAACGAAGACTTGGTGCGAGAAAGCAAGTAAAGACAAATGTTTAGAAAAAAATCAAGAAAATTTTAATATTTCCTTGCCATTTGTATGCACGTGCCTATATGCGTAAAGGACGCTACGCACCTGAGACTTTCAGGGCCCTGAACAACCAGTATCCCATACGAGCTTTTTTTATGTTATAAAATCAAAATACATCGTAATGTAGATGTTGTAGTTCAGGTTCAATATGATTTTGAACCAGTTCAATTTCTTCTGAACTGGTTCAGTTTATTTTGAGCCAGTCCAATATAACTCAATCCAGTACAAATCAGTTAAGGGCTAGGTTTAGGGTTAGGTTTTGGGTTAGGTTTTGGGTTAGGTTTATGGTTAGGTTTAGGGTTGGGAATAGGGTTGAGCCAGCATTATATAAAAATTTTCTTCATTAATAAATTACAATTAAGATAAAAACAATTTGCAAACATTATTACCAACAAAATCCTTGATGGTATAATTGTTAGTACTGTGGACTATGAAGCAAGAGTTGGTTCAAACCCTGATGAAGGTAAGTGTTATTCATAAATTAAAAATATAGGAAATATCAATATTTCTGTAGGGTATAGGGTAAGATAAAGTAGAAATAGTAGAAGGTAGAAAATAGGATGATAGATAGAAAATGGGAGAGAATGAGGTGGGATATAGTTCTTTTAGTTCTTTTAAGAATGCTAGAGCGAAAAAAAAAGACCAGTACAAGAAGTCTTGTACTGGAACAAATTAGATTAAACTGGTTCAAAAATATATTGAACCTGAACTACAACATAGACAAACAATTACTCTTTATTATCTCTTAATGATCTGTGAATAGATGCATGGCAAAGGCCGAACGACTTTGGCTACCGAAAGCCATCAAATGCAACCTACGTACCTCATCCTTGTACTAACATGGCTATATAAGAAAATGTGTTAAATTACTACAACAATTCTGGCCATGCCACGAGGATGACTTGCAAAGGTTGCATGTGATGGTCATAAGCAAACGTTCTGCCGTCTAATTCGGCCTTAAGATTAACTCCCTCGTAAAACTGACGGATGGAAACGGATTGCGAATGCTAGTCTATTTGAAGCATTGAATACTGTTTGTTGATTGCCTTTAAACTTATCTATTTTGAATAGTTGTATGTATAGCAGCCAGCGCCATCTTGAAAAATGCCTTATCATTTGAATTGAAAGTGCGATAGTGTATTTTTTGCAGCAGACGAGTTTACACTGGAAAAAACCGCGCTGCAGTAAATTTGATGTAAAAATGATGAATCACACTTTCATAATATTTACATCACATTTACAACTTTTTTACATACATTGTAAATTTGATTTGAAGTCACATTTACACACTTTTTATAGTAACGATAGAAAAAATCATGGAAATTACAATCCAAATTTACTCGATATTTCCATGATTTTGGACACTAACGGGATATTTACAACCTTTGTAATTATTATAGGTTGAATCATTAAATTAACAACCTTCAAGGAGCGCGATTTTTTCCAGTGCTAACCGCTGTACCTTACCTTGATGCAAGGGCAAAGAGAGGCTGTAAAATGGTGGCACTACACCTTTGTTGACGTAAATCCATATTTGACCAAAACATTTGATGTCTGTTTTGTCCCAAATTCTATTCCACAGACTCAATACATGATCAATGAAAGTTGCATTTTATTTGTATTTGTTATACACAAAATGTTTGAAAATTAATATTAATACATTGATAATTGTTAATTAAGGTGGAAGGGCTTTGTCTCCACCAATACCATGCCATAGGTCGATTTATGGGTGCTGTTGGGACCTCATAACAGCTGCTCAAGACATAAGAGNGGCAGGAGTTTTAAGGTGGGTCTGGTCTGGGTCTGGGAACGGTTCCCCCAGGAAATTTTGAAAAAATATAACTCTTGGAAATGCGATCTCCAGCGTTTTGAGGTTCTTTTTGATAACGAAGCCTTGGTGCGAGAAAGCAAGCAAAGACAAATGTTTAAAAAAAAATCAAGAAAATTTTAATATTTCCTTGCCATTTGTACGCACGTGCCTATATGCGTAAAGGACGCTCCGCGCCTGAGACTATTTCAGGGCCCTGAACAACCAGTATCCCATACGAGCTTTTCTTATGTTATAAAATCAAAATACATCGTAATGTAGACAAACAGTTACTCTTTATTATGTCTTCATGATCTGTGAATAGATGCATTGCAAAGGCCGAACGACTTTGGCTACCGACAGCCATCAAATGCAACCTACGTACCTCATCTTTGGAGTAACATGGCTATATAAGAAAATGTGTTAAATTACTACAACAATTCTGGCCATGCCACGAGGATGACTTGCGGAGGTTGCATGTGATGGTCATAAGCAAACGTTCTGCCGTCTAATTCGGCCTTAAGATTAATTCCCTCGTAAAACGGACGGATGGAAACGGATTGCGAATGCTAGTCTATTTGAAGCATTGAATACTGTTTGTTGATTGCCTTTAAACTTATCTATTTTGAATACTTATATGTATCGCAGCCAGCGCCATCTTGAAAAATGCCTTATCATTTGAATTGAAAGTGCGATAGTGTATTTTTTGCAGCAGACGAGTTTACACTGGAAAAAAACGCGCTGCAGTAAATTTGATGTAAAAATGATGAATCACACTTTCATAATATTTACATCACATTTACAACTTTTTTCACATACATTGCGGCCGTAAATTTGATTTGAAGTCACATTTACACACTTTTTATAGTAACGATAGAAAAATCATGGAAATTACAATCCAAATTTACTCGATATTTCCATGATTTTGGACACTAACGGGATATTTACAACCTTTGTAATTATTATAGATTGAATCATTAAATTAACAACCTTCACGGAGCGCGATTTTTTCCAGTGCTAACCGCTGTACCTTACCTTGATGCAAGGGCAGAGAGAGGCTGTAAAATGGTGGTACTACGCCTTTGCTGACGTAAATCCGCATTTGACCCAAACATTTGATGTCTGTTTTGTCCCAAATTCTATTCCACAGACTCAATACATGATCAATGAAAGTTGCATTTTATTTGTATTTGTTATACACAAAATGTTTGAAAATTAATATTAATACATTGATAATTGTTAATTAAGGTGGAAGGGCTTTGTCTCCACCAATACCATGCCATAGGTCGATTTATGGGTGCTGTTGGGACCTCATAACAGCTGCTCAAGACATAAGAGGCAAAGGCTGTCCCCGTGAGTACATAGTCAAGTCTAACAATACTGAATCCAAACAGTCCCCAAGCTCCCTAAGCTCTTTACATTCAAGATGGTGGACCAAATGACAACCTAAATAAAATGAACTTTATTTTGTTCGTCTTTGTAACTATACTTTGACAAAAATAGTATTATTTTTTTTTCGAGAAGGATCTGTCAGAAACTTAAAATGAATTTGAAAGGAAATTCTTTCAAGGATTAGGTTTAAAACTCGAACCTACGCTATTCATTGTTAACCCTATATTTTCCTAAACCAAACATTAGGCCTTTAGCTAAATTCTCTTTAAAATCTATTCAAATCTTGTCAGGAAAAGCTTTGTTATGGAGTCATCCTAAAGCCGATACATTTTCCGGGATCAAAAGATGAAAGACCAAAAGGATGAAGATAATGACGTGCATGTGCTCCAAGTATCTTTTCAAAAGTAGCTAAAAGTTTCTTATATTGGTCCAATCGAATTTCAAGTCTTTTCCGATATGGCAATTTTCAACCAAGTGACACTTAACAGTATTTTTTATTTTTAATATTTCAGCTTGCGTTGACAGACATAGGTCYATCTGTMTGATGTTTCGATGGATGTGTCAAAGACGTAAAGACAATGCTGAYTACATTAAAATGAATTGCCCTGTTACGTGTGGGAGATGTGTACCAGATCATAAAGCTGAGCATGCGTCAAGCATATTCTACTTCTATGTAAAATCCTTGAGAAAATTATACAGACAAAAGATCAAGAAAAACAGAAGACTACGGCGTATTTGAACTCAAACGTCTACGAACTCTTAAACAGGCCACGGTAAATGAGTTATGATATGGTGAAAAAGGCAACTGGAAAATAACAAACCATGCAGAATAAATGTAGCAACAAGAGCCTGTTATTGTGAATATACAGTATTATTGAAACGCTTTTCACCTAAGAAGATCACGTCTAAGATGAACTAGAAATCTAACGTGGTCGCCACGTTCCTACGGAAGGTTAAATGTGACTTGGAATAGTTTGGAACTATACTATATCTTTTCTATTATTTTTATTATATAAATAACAGACCATGATATATACAGCAAGAATACAATATCTTAATTATCGGGGGAAAATCTGGCAAAAATCAGAAAGGCATGCCGGTCCGGTACCATGAAACTAACTGGACAAAATACTGATTTGGTGAATAGAACCATCGTACAACTGGCCCTATCTAGTTAGAGTTAGTTACCCACCAAATATGTTGGATATGATCATCGCGAAGGATGTCGRATTTGGTAGACTTTTTTTTCAGAATAGATTGTTAATGTTATGTTCATGAAGCAAAKGAATACAGCACAAAAAATACAGTGAGCTGCAAAATGATTGTCATCGATCGGTTAAACTTGTCTTGCAATGTCGTTGTGAAACAATTAAACAGTTGTTGAAGATTTGTGCAGTGTAATAGGAGTTTTCTCCTAATGTTTTCATCGCAATTATACCCGAGGAAAGCAAATCTATGAGCACATACATGGTGCAATCATAGTTAATAGAGGGGCAATCTTTCAACAGCTCYTGCTAAACTGCGCATTTCTCAAAAAAACCTGTGTTGTTTTACGATAACTTGCTGAGAAAATTGTACAGTGTACCGAACAACACCTTTAGAAACTTGCAAGTTTTTGGGACCATATTGGCACAAAAGGTTTGCACACCCAAGGTCGCCCCAGACCTCGGCTAGTTTCTTATGGTCACAATAGATAAGTAAATATATTTTAATTAAAAAGGCGCAAATTTAGTTTAAGTTCACATTCTAGTAACTATAYAGAGGAAGAAAAAAAGCCATTTATATTGACGAATATGACAATCAATTAGAACGTACTGTAAGGTCTTGAAAAGATTCTTTACATTTTATTTTAAAGTGTACAGCTCGAAGAACTATTACATAAACTTAAAAAAAGAAGCCAATACATGAAAGAAAACTGAATAATAAATAAATCAAAAAAATCCTGAGCGATCATCAATGTCTTCATTAGACCAACAATACGAGTATGCATTGTGATAAATACGTTTGACAGACAGTATACAAAGCACAGAAAAAAAGCACGCGCTTTGAACGCTGCAAATTTCATGTAAATTTATATCGTGTACATTTAATTTCCATGAATATTTTTTATTTCAAAGGGCGCGGATTTTTTTCAGTGAATTACATCATTTACATTAAATTTACATGATTTACATCAAATTTACATAATTTGGACACTTACATAATATTTACATTAAATTTACAACCTTTTAAAGTGCACGATTTTTTTCCCAGTGTTCCATATGAACGTTGCAGTTCTTTCATTACTAATGCACGATGTGCACGATGTTGTCATAACGGACTAAAACAGAAATAACATCAGTCGATGTTTCTTCCTTTAAAAAACWATAAACAGGAACAAAGTAAACACTTTTATTTTGGCAGATGTTCACTTCATGTCCCTTAGGGCTTCATTTTCTTCATTGAAACACGAATTTTTTGCGCGGCTGATAAATASTGCTCAAAACAACCGGCTGAAAAATAAATCCTTTCTTGTTTCTTGTTCTTGAGCAAAGTCTAATTTCTAGCACAGAACGGTACAAATGACAAGGTTTCCCACAGTGCCTTGCGTACTCTTCTCAGTCTCCAAAACAGGATGAAYGGGTTCAAAGACGAGTTTACGTGCAACAGAGTTTTGGGCCATTGCATGACAGTATATCGAAACGTACGCTTTTGTTGGATATTAACAAAGTACAACCGTGCAACAATGTAAGGCAAATAACAAAGYAAGTAAACCGCGATTATTGTCATGGTAGTTTTAAGTGCTTTTCTTTCTCGTAGTCGCCGTTTTGTTACTTCTCTGTTTTGGTTGTTGATTTGAACACGGTGTCTGTTRGCTATGCGCAGCATTTTCAGGTACAAAAKGCTGACGATGATGAAAGAAAGCGATAAAAAGGCAATAAARAGAATACTGAAGTGTTTWCCGCGTTTTGTRAAGAGTCTAGCAACAGCGACCAATATGCACGTGATCCATACGCTAACACACGCTATGAGCACGCGYGTTTTCGTTACAAACATTGCGTAACGATATGGAAGGCTTACAGCAAAGCAACGGTCTACGCTGACTAGTACGGAGACACAGGATGAGCATAAACCACACACGTACTTCGTTGTATCATAGATGATATACGCTAGGCAAGTGCCGCCATTCCAWGTCAAATATTGAATGTTGATTGCTGCTAGTAAAGGCTGAACAATGATACCTACAAGAACATCAGTCAACGCAAGACAACCCAGAAGAATATGAGAATTTGATCGCAGTTGAGGTCTMCGCAAAAGAACCAGCAAAATGAAGATATTACCGAAAATAGCGGGAAAGGAGGTTATACAATTCAGTACAGTTGTGGAAATAAGAGTACCAGACTCAAAATAGGGTATCCTTTCGTTAAAGTCTGGATTCCATACCAAACATTTAGACTTTCCTTGGGCGTTCAATAAAGAACTGTTCAGTCTTGAAATCGGAAATCTTTTGCCAGTCATTGCRATGCGGCTACAATCTAAACCATTTCGTMTCGGCAAATTGTCGTTTAAATCAGCTGTCTATTTTGTGTCTGTAGTGTTCGTTTGCAGTTTAACAAATTGCGCACGATTTTGAGTTGTATGTCCTCTTATTGGAACACTCTTGACGTCATAAAATGTTCAAAACTCAAGTGGACMCACGAGTCTCTCATATGATTGGAATTCTTYATAAGGCTGTAAGTATATTTTTGACGCGGCAAGAGAAAGAGCTCATTCAAGCAGCGAAAAAACGTCGGGCAACAAGACAAGGCAACAAGAGAACAGGAAAAGTCCTCTGATAATCAATAAAGAAAGCTGTGGATCYTTGAGCACATTTTAGAAATGTGAACAATGAACTCCTTAGAAGTGAAGGGTCGTTAGTCTTTTACAGTAAGTTCAAAGGGCGTCAATCTGACAGTGAATTTTAAGTATTTAAAAACCGTCAGGCAGCCTGACGTTTAGCCCCAGAAACTAAACGTCACTGGCAATGTTTTTTTGGCAAAATCGTCGGAACAACCATAATTTCAATTAACAGAACAAGGGAAATGGAAAAAAAGACCGAAATACTGATATTGGTCGACAAGGTCGTCGAATCACGGCACTTTGACCTTTCTTTGAGATTTTTCGATTGCCTGACAATTTTGTCGCGGAAAAACTCAACGTCAGACAAGCGATTTATCATACAACGATATCACTGGATAATTATCGATTAATAATACGTTTTTGCTACCTCGACGTATCTCAGAGGCACGGGATTGTGACTTATGCCACAGGTAATCCACAAATGTAAAGCGCGTGCGTTAATATAAAAACGTGTTCTTCTTCTTGTATAATGACTTTAGTTCCTCATTTTTYGTACATGAAAACTACTAAACACAACAACAACAACAACATCATCATTCCTATTACGCCTAGGTGGCATGTAGGGCCGCTACTAAGAATTTCAATATGGTTATTCTTAGTATTGGTTTCCGTAGCAATAAGTAAGTGTGATGGGGTTGCTGGCCCCAAGCACACTGCCAGAGCCCTGTTAGCCGGTGTTAGCCGTTTCCACCTACCACGACGAGGACGTAGGGATGGACTTTGGTAGGCAACAACAACAACAACAATAAATAAATAAAATCTTTAAGGCAATAGTTGAGCAGCCTATGTCACCGCGTGAGTTACGTCATGAATTCAACGTCGAGTCTTCGTTTCATAGTTCAAATAATTTAAAGATGGCTAAATAATCTTCGAAAATTATGACTATTTTTATATCTAGTTGATAACTCAAAATGACCCTGTATTAAAAAACTCAAAACATAAACCGAAACTTGAAATGCGAACAGAAAACAGCTCAAAACTTCAAAACTGTAACTGTAAGATCTTGAGTGAACCGTCGACAATAACTTTGCGTCCAAGTTTGTTTTTCTTTACTGAATTCGATGGCAACTCGCTTATAAGAAAGCAAATAAGAAATAGTCAAAGGTGTKGATGTGGATAATCCCAACACAATCTGCACTTGAAGAAAGCAGGGCGAAAGGTATCTCGATCAGTCGTGCTAAGCAACTGGAAGTTTGCGAAGTGCTGTACTGTAACTACTTTTAAAAATCATTCTCACTTGGTGATAACATCTACATTTAAAAGATATTTTTAATTTTGTAACTTTCAGAATGTCTATTGTTCAAACTCGTAAGTTATGCCTAAGAAATTATTTTGTTTTTTTTGGATCGAAGATATTTTAATGAAGTGGTGACTGACTGACCTCAGGTGCTGTTGTAGTTTTATAATTTTTCTTCTTCTTTCGATGTTTTTTTTAGGAAAAAAAAATGATGATTTTTCTTTCAAATGTCAATTGTCTATATTGACCACGGATGTCCGCTTTCCCTCTGAACAACCAACCCATCAATCAGAGAGCGAGATTTCACCGAAAGTAGCTCTTGTCATATGCCCATGTAATAACCCCTATGTCTTTGTATTATATTAAAAACTGGCAGCASTTGCTATTTTTTTAGCAATGATAATTAATTTTTCATATAGTTTAAAAAACTCTACACACATTTAAGACTCAATTGTTTGAGACTTTTGCAGAAACGTTTGAAAAATCGAGTTGTGAGAAGSTGACCATCTGGGTTACCAGTTTCCGGTAGGTATAAAAATGTCCGTGTGTCATCATTACATAATAATGATACGTGTGTCATTATAAAATGTTTTTTTTATGCGGCATAAAGGTCATGCGTGTGATCAARTTGGGATCCTGATTGGCTTAACCCTCTGGCGACTGCCCTATAGAATATCGTTCGAATTCGAACGACGCGTCTAAAATTCATAAGTTTACCGAAATCGTAAACTATAGCCCTGAAATTATTAGTGCGAACTCACTAGTAAATATTGTCGATCTTAAAGTTCAAAGAATTTCCCAACGAGGTAAAAAAAAGGCACAAAACAGTACTCTGCTGACAAGTGAATGCCAAAATTTGCGTTTGGAGGACTACAGGAAACACTAATTTCCAGCTCAATTTTTAGCGTCAAAAAATGTTTTGTTGCAAAAAGTCCACTTCACTTGCAAACCCCTTTGATAGCACGTCCTCATTTTGCCGTTTTTATTCTGTCAAAGTCACTGCAGACCTCTCAACAGCGATCTTTTGAGCACCCAATACAATAAACTCCTATGCACGACCGAAATGCATCATGGGAAGACAGAAAATTTGGACATAAATCTTGCAACATTCTTCTCTTAAGAAATATTTTATGTGAGCTCCCCCGCACCTACAGGCAAAATATTGGTCCAATTGCATTCTTTGGTTGTCAAATATTGCCAAAATTACCTTGGTAGGTCGGAAAATCTGCCACAGATGGACCAGGAAAGCGATCTTACAATGATGTCTCCAGTTCAAAACAAACCGTGACTTGGAGCCATTGTCTTCGAAAAATCGCTTTCCACCTCTGATTTCTTCCAGAAGATTGTCTCTGCCGACTAGTCAAGCTTAATGACTGATGCAAGCCTAGGGGCTCCTGTGGCAGCAAAAAGCTCAAAAAAACAAATTCAAATTCGCAATAGTTTGACTGACAACACCTTATATGGAAGTTAAATATTCCATCATCTTTTTATAGTCGAAAATGCTCCAAAATCAGCAAATAAACACCCGTCGTCAAAGGGTTAAGTTAACAAATTATTTGTTACAAATAATATCTGCTTGTTTAGTTTTCATACATAAATTCCAGTCCACGWTTTCCAATAGCTTATAATAAAAGAAGGSSSGTAAGAAAGATTCAAAATCTGAAAATAGAAATGGTTTGCTATATTGACCAGCWCTTCAACCAAAAACCTGTTCACTGACGGATTGTAATTAATGGGCTTGTAATGGCCTTCATCTGTTTATTCAACTGTTTTAACGATTTTGGGGTCCTTTCTTTATGATTCATTGTCAGTCCATTATTACTATTTATTTATTTTTCTTTCTTTTTTTCCCTGTCCTTTTCCTTCTTTTTATTGAATAAAGACACGAGATTTTCGGAAACGCTGATGTTATCCTATTTTCGCTAGCGAYAATAACATGTTATCTTCGMTACGCTTACTCGTGAGAGATCTTTTCAACATTCGAAATAAAATCCGTCTCTAAGCGACCACGTAACATCCTTTATCTATGAATTCAGTTACTTATGTTTCCACAGTTTCGTAAGTTATCATTTGAACACAAGTTATAATATCCCAAAGTTATACTAACTATAAAATATTCTTAAAATAAAACAACGCASAGTTTACTAGTMCATGTATACAGTCAATCTGGCCMCATTAACGTTGTTCACTTGCAAAGACGTAAATAACATATAACAAAGTCATTTGCATMCATTATACTTTTAATTTCTTTTACAAGAATATTCAAAATTTTGAAACCTCTCTTTACAATGCAGTAATATTTAATTTGCTTAAGTCTATAGAATTAAAATTCTTCCTGGGAATTTTAAAACCCGTTTTATGAAAATGRCTTTGTTGTTTTCTTTATGTYTTTACAACTTGCTATCGAGGCCTAAGATCAACTGAAAAGGTGTATTGAAAAGTAGGATTGACTGCACTTTTTTCACAAGTGAAAGAAAGGGAAACTTTTTCGCGAGAGAGATTGCTATTATTTCATTGAAGTTTATAAAACAAACCTTTTACTTTGTAACGGTCACTGAAAAAAATTGGAATATAAAAAATTCAGAGTGTACAAGGYCTTGTCATATACTGCTGAATAATTAGCATCAACAGTTTTTTGCAAAGTTYATTATATAAAGGCCGGAGAATTTTCGAAGAAAAGGAAGCCTTACTATTACTGCAGTGAATCAGGAATTTCWGTTGTTGCAAAAACCGTCATCTGTGAAAAATGACCTAAAGAAATCTCTTAATTACTATATTTAATCAATATTTGGGTGATGTTGTGTTGCTAACGTGGAACTCTCGTTGCGGTAAGGTCGTCATTCGTATTCCTTAGGATCATGCCTTCTCGCATTTTGTTCAGAAGACGCATGTTGACTGGACTGAGTTTTGGAACTATTCTATACATATTTGTCATTTATTTTTTATTGACAACAGCTGTTTTAAAACAAACATTTGTAAATGTTGTTGAGTTGAACGAAAAGGATGCCACTGATAAGGTAACTACGTTTGAACCGACCGAAAAGAATGAGAACGTAACTACGTTTGAACTGAACGAAAAGAATGAGAACGTAACTACGTTTGAACTGAACGAAAAGAATGAGAACGTAACTACATATGAACCGATCGAAGAGGACAGCACCGAGAACGTAACTACGTTTGACAATAATGGTAAGCTAAAGAAAAAGAAAACAAGCACTGAGGCCACACAGCCCAAGAGACCGCCACAGACCATGCCACCACTGAAGAATGGTTTTCAGCTCGTCTTNGTCTATAGAATTAAAATTCTTCCTGGGAATTTTAAAACCCGTTTTATGAAAATGGCTTTGTTGTTTTCTTTATGTCTTTACAACTTGCTATCGAGGCCTAAGATCAACTGAAAAGGTGTATTGAAAAGTAGGATTGACTGCACTTTTTTCACAAGTGAAAGAAAGGGAAACTTTTTCGCGAGAGAGATTGCTATTATTTCATTGAAGTTTATAAAACAAACCTTTTACTTTGTAACGGTCACTGAAAAAAATTGGAATATAAAAAATTCAGAGTGTACAAGGYCTTGTCATATACTGCTGAATAATTAGCATCAACAGTTTTTTGCAAAGTTCATTATATAAAGGCCGGAGAATTTTCG